ACGCGGCACTGCTTAGAGAGCTAGCAACACCCTCCATTCCTACCTTCAGGGTAGACACACATTTTTCCCAGGAAAGATTCTTAATACGGCATTAGGGTCTTTGATAACCTCTTGGAATTTTCTTTACTTTGAGTAAATTAAGCGAGCAAGAGAGGAAGCACCTGAAACATATGACATAGCAGTTTACTGGGGAACATTAACCTTGGCTTTATTCGTATTTGGAAATAAATGCTTGAAGACGTGAATTTATCTTAATGTGGCAACAGAGAAATAATGTAAAGTTTAAAATCCTTAGCCCACCCTTACCCCGTGTGGAGAATCACGCTTTGGATGCCAGCAGGCTGCTGGCTCTGTTACGAAGGAAGGCATGTTTCTACCCCAATTGCCTGAATTTTTACAAACCAAAGTAAAACAAATAGATCAGTCTAGATACATAGCCCCCAGCCTAGTGTGTGTGCAGCATGACAAAACTTGCAGAAGCTCTTCACAGAGAGAAAAGGATGGAGACCGATATCTTTGGAGCGCTCTCAGAGCTGGTACCTGCCACATAAACTGCCTCTGAGTGCTCTGAGAGTCAGCAAAACAGCCTCCTTATAACCTCATCAACTTTATAAGAAAGCTACTTGCAAAAGATTTCCACACTCGCAACGATCACCAAGTCTGACCCGACTGCAATCGGAAGGAAACTTCCCTGCCTCAGAGTGTACTGAGGGGCTCTGACTCACGGCCGCCCCATGCCAACTTCACCTCTCAGAAAGGAGAGACAGGAGCCACATCCTGAAGAAGGGGCCGCTTGCATTTCTTTTCCGTTTCCTTTAAGCATCTCTGAAAAGGGAACAACTTTTCAGTCCTCCACTGCCTCTAAGCATCACCACCAGCGCTTCCACTCCCTTTCAGGAAGTGGTTAAGGGAGTGAGGGCTTATCTTAAACAGGGATAATCATTTCTGCTCATCTGATTGTTTCTCCTCTAGGATCTAAAGCCCTGAAAACATCCAACTTTATCCCTTTTCTTTCCCACTGAAAATCAGAGACCAAAGGCGTTGGTAAAAACCTCCCCCACTCTACCATACAATGCCTAACCCTTTAGCTGAAACTTTGAAGAAAAATCAAATTTAACTTTTCTTTCTTTCTGCCATTTCCTCTTCCCCACCACTCCTAATTCAGGGTTCATTTAAAAGACAACTTCATTCCCTTTTCTGAAACAAGCAGTTTCCGGGTTTGATTTTTGTGAAAACGTGCAATGTGTCTGTGTGATTTTTTTTTCAGAGGCTGATGCTGGGAGGTGATGGGCTGGGGAGGAAGGCCCATCTTCCCAGGCTCCACAGGAGGCAGGAGGGTAGCCGGAGCATCCCCAGGAGCCCAAGCCTGAATCAGGGGCTAAAGCAACAAACTTTGCAAGTTACAACCGGGCCGCCCCAGTGGCAGGCAGCCGCCGGGCATCTCCCGCTCCTAAGTGCTCATTTCTGCCTTGAAGGCTGTGTGGAGATAGTGGGGTATAATCAGGGGAATGAAAAGGGGGGCTGGGTTTTCCCCCTCCTCTCCAGCTTCAGTGAAAGTATTACAAAGTGAGTCAGGCGACTGAAGATCATCTGACTGAACTTTCTTGAAACCGACACACATTCTTGTCTTCGGGCAACTTGCTTTTTGCCTCCTTCCCCCTCACCCCTCTCCCCCTTCTCTCCTGCACATCTTATTTTCTGGGAAGAGATTTCATCCTTTCCATGTGGGGGAAAGGAGACTGTCCGCTATGGATTAACTTGGTGCTGGCACTGTCTCTGCCAGGCATCTTGCTAGCCTGAGGATCTCGAAGGCTGGATTTTAGATTCTTGCTTCTCTCTTTGTATATTTGTTCTCCTTAAACTGCTTCCTTCTCCTTTGCTTTTTAATAATCGCATATACAGCATCGTCTTCTAACCCACGTTCTTGACCAGCCTTTCAAACACACACATACTGCTTTACACGTTTTATCTCCTTGTCGCCTTAGTCTATATATACACCGTTGACTTCATTAAAATTATATAAAGTGCCATTCTGGTTTCCTGGATGACCATCTCTCTCTCTCTTTTTTCCCCACGCAGCTTCTACTTCTATGATTAGTAGTACCATTATTCCTTTCCAGGAATTTCTATATGATTTTGATAAGCATCATCATATTCAGTGTTATCAGCAAAGACACAAGCTCAAAACTGACATCTTTTCCATGAATCCAGGAAAGAAGAAAAATCCACTCAGTTCAGATAAATCCTAGCAATTCCCAAAGGGAAAGGCATTGGATACGTGCTTGATGAGAAAGAAAATGAAAAAAGAGGGGAAAAAACTCTTCTACCTGCTTCTCAAAACCAGGACATTGCTCAGTCAGATTAATCCCAAAGCAAAACACTGACAAGTAACCGATACACAGCATGTTTTCCCACAGACTATTGGGAAATAATTATTGCTGTTAAATGTGCAGGGTCTGGGCTAAATGCCTTTAAAATGTGCAATTCAACTTTCCACTTCGGAGTGTTGAGGCTTCTCCCAAGTTAGTGGCTGGGCGGAGGGGGAAATGGTGTCCATTTCTGAGCACCAAGCAGTGTCCACGGCTGAGCACCTCCCTGGCACTCTGTTCCACCTGCGAAGCCCCCAGCAGGCTTCCCCCTCTGCCAGCCCCCACCCCAGGGCTCCCAGGAAGCCTGGAGCATTCTGTTTTTCCAGACCTGGGCTCTGGCCCGACTTCACTGCAGAGGCCAGGCTGGTCAACAGTGGCAAAATCCCGAAGGGGGTTGGAGGAGCCAGACAAGAAGAAACAAACATTCTAAATAGTCTCTCCTGCAAAAGAACGCTTCTGGGAACCTTGCTTTAAATCTTATTTTCCTCTCTCTCAAAAAATGACTGTTTAACATAAGAAAAAGAAAGAAGCCTCCTTGACACGAAGCTTTTGTTATCCAGTTGATCAGCAATGTGCTTTAGATACTTGTAAGGGGGGAAAAAAGCCCCACAATAGACATTGATTTTAGAAAATCAATAACCAACATTTAATAAAAGGAACAGAGGAAACACAAGAGAGAGGGGGGCACTAGGTGTAATTTTAGTGTCTACTAAATTACCCAGAGATGGGGAAGGGGAGGTCTCCAGTGTAAGGACCACCTTAAATAATGCCAGACACTAGAGTGAAGAAAAAATTAAATTAAGAGAGGGAGAGAGAGAGGGAGAGAGAGAGAGAGAGAGAGAGAGAGAGAGAGAGAGAGAGAGGGAGAGAGAGAGAGAGAGAGAGAGAGAGAGAGAGAGAGAGAGAGAGAGAGAGGGAGAAAGAGACTTAAGAGGCAGCCTGAACTGGATCTTGGGGAAGCAGCTCGGAATATATTATTGTACTTGTTTTTTTGTAATACTAAGCCAAGCAAATAGATCAAAGGCAGCACAAAGGGAAAAGGCAGTATAACATAACGAACAGTTTCTGACTAAAATTCCTCTATCACTCCCCCATATGGCTCGACACCTCTACCACAACAAGCAAAAGACACACACACGCGCACACGTACACGCGCGCACACACACACACGAAACCTAGAGAGAGACAGAGAGAAGCATCATTTGTCTCTAATCAAAATTCCCTCGTCTTTGTGTTTTCTCCTTCCAGCGCCCCTCACTGAGCCCCCAGCAGGCCCCTCCCGGGCCGCGCAGCTCAGGGGCAGGCCGGGGGCGCACAGAATTGTCTTCCCTAGAGGAAAGTTGCTCCAAGGGGGCCCCGGTGGTCCCCGCGAGGCGCGGGCTGGGCTTGCGGGAGGCCGGAGGCCGGGCCGGCGCCGCGTCCCCGCGTCCAGTTCGGGAGCGTCAACGCGGCCCCGCGCCGGGTGATCAGACTGAGAACGAGGGGAGCGAGAAGTTTCCTTTCCCAGTCTGAGCTGGCGCTAGTTCTCTTGTTTGTTTTGGGGGGTTGATTTTTTTTTTTTTTTAAACTCAGTATCCTCCGTCAGCTATCCCCGGCACCCTCTCCGGTCCCCAGCTCTCTCCCCTCCCCCAGGCGCCTTCTGCGCTCTTGCCAATCACTTTTCTCTTTTATTCCCACGATTTTGTTTGGGGGTAATACCTAGGGGGTCTCTCTCTGTGTGTGTGTCTGTCTCCCTCTCTCACTCTGTTCCTTCTCTGACTCTTTCTAAGGTGGACCTACTAAGCTGTCACGCCTTTGATCTCCCATCTCTGCTCTGCGTGTCCCCCTCGCGCCCGCACCTCCTTCCTCCTTCTTGACTCAGCCTGGATAACGGACTCCTGACCATGTCGAAACTGCTCAGAAAAGTCTCCCTGCGCTCTGCGACTCCGCCAGCCCCCGGCGCGGGGCCAGCGCCCGCTGGAGAGGAACCACCCGCCCCTGAGCCCGCGTGGACCTCGCCGGACCCCGCGCGGGGCCGGCCGAGTCCCTCCCACCCCGGGGTCCCGGCGCGACCGGCCGGGCCCCGCTGCCTGCGGACCGTTACTTGGCGTACCGAGAGGCGGCTGGGCGACTCCGGCAAAGAAACTTTAAGCCTTGCCGGAGGCACAGCCCCGGGGCCCCTCTCCCACTCTCACAGTCCCTCTGCCACCCCCGCCCCGCCCCCGCCTCGGGGATCCCGCGCGACCCGTTGCCCGGGCCCCCGCCCTGCCCTCGCCGGACGCTCACGCAGCCCGGCCGGAGAGCCGGCGGGCCGGGCGCTGGTGGAGC